TTTTCTGCAGGATTAAGGTTATTGTCAGGCTCCAAAGTCCTCATGACAGCTTCAGAAGTTTCCCTGGGGCTGGCTAGTAACTACAGAACTATCATCTCACACCTCACTGTCTAGAGAAGAGAGTCTGTGGTAACTTTCTTAGCAGTAACCAGAGGTCTGGCTGATAATAATCCTTACCATTAGTGGGGAATCTCGTGGCTGAGTAGTTGAGCAGCTGCCCACATTTGAAGCCATCACTAGAGCAGGGAGAATGAGGTTCTATGCTTAAGTGGGTAGAGAGATGTGTGTGTGTGTGTGTGTCTGTATTATAGGCCTGTAGCAATTCAAGACTAATTGACCACTTAAGCCGAGCAGAGTCTAGCTGCTTACAGCTATGGTGGGGTCAACTCCACTCAAAGCACTTGACAAGGATGGGGACAGAGTGGTTTCACCTAGTGAGGTCAGACTTCCATTGTCTAGAGCACATGTGTCAAACACAAGGCCCGCGGGCCAAATCCGGCCTGCCAGGCCTTGCAATGTGGCCCGCACCGCGCTGTCATCACTGCACTCCGCTGCGTTTCCATCACAATGACAGTTTATGACTGTTCAGTAAACCATTCGGCCCGCGATTTAGGCTGGATTTTAGATTTTGGCCCCTTCTCTGATTGAGTTCGACACCCCTAGTCTAGAGCAGTGTTTCCCAACCTTCTCTCATGATGAGAATCACCTGGTGGAGTTGTTAAAATACAGATTCCTGAATCCCAACTAAGAAGTGCTAAACTAGAATTTTTGGGAACATATAGGTAAAATTGCATACCTAACTTATTTTTAGAGCACTAGTTAAGTATACAATTTTACCTATATGTTCCCAAAAATTCTAGTTTAGCACTTCTTAGTTGGGATTCAGGAATCTGTGGTTTAACAACTCCACCAGGTGATTCTCATCATGAGAGAAGGTTGGGAAACACTGGTCTAGAGAAGGGAAATGGAAAGTAGTGAAGCAAGCAATAAACACAAGGGAGCTCCGGTGAGACAGATGTGAAGGTGCCCCTGAGCAGGACCTGTCTGGGCCCCTCAGATGGTGTTTTCACTGGCAGCCAGTTACCCGGAGAAGGTGTTTACCCGTGAGAGGGCTGCTTCAGTTGGAAGAGTACATTTGCAGGAAGGCAGTTGTGCCACAAAAGCTGGTTTGGGTTTTAACTAAAAAGCAAGACCTGGTCAGATCCTCTGAAGAAAACCAGATTTGGGGGCTATTGTTAACACCAAAAGCTAATCAATGCAGGTCCTCCAGCATCTACCTCTGCAGCTACTTCAACACACATTGATTGATAATCTATATATATGCTAAGTGTCCCTCCCTCCATCTGACCGGTCACTATGATGTGCACTGACTACCAGGGGGCAGATGCTCAACGTAGGAGCTGCTGAGCTGCAGTGACCTGGCAGTGTCAGTTCTCGGGTGACCTACCCCAGAACCAGAGGGGAGGGAGCCTGATTCCTCATGGGGCCACCCAATTCCACCGTCAGCTGTGGGTTATGTTGTTGCCGGGGCACTGTTGGCCATGAAACTGGTTTACTACACACTTATATTTGCTTTCCACACCCTGTATGACAGCAACTTTGCAGAGTGCCCTCTTGCAATCCGGGATCACTCAGGGGATGTTGGAGAGCTGGTTTTGGCCTGATCTCCGCAGGCCAGGCCGAGGGACCTTACCTGCTGGAGGGGCCCCACTCTGGAGATGCTGGGGAGGGATGATGGGAGATTTGGCTCCAGAGTGTGTCCTGCCAATCTTGCTCAGTCCTGCCCTATTGGCTATCTTTCAATTGCACAAGTCCGTGCACCCGGTCACTAGTATATTCATAGTGCTGGCACGGAGGCATACCAGGAAAAGGTGAGAGAATGTTCGGTTCATCTCCAGGAGACAACAGTGTAATGGCAGGAGAGCTTTGAAATGGCAGCCGAATGGCTCAGCTTCTAGTCTGGCCTGTGCTACTAATTCACCAGAGACACTGTCAACATGTGGGATCTGGAGCCAATTAGCTCCACTGTTACTAGCTGTGCAGCTTTGGGCAAATAACTTCACCTCTCTGATCCCACGTTTTCTCCTCTATAAAATAAAGCTAGCCAAAACCGGTTTGACTCAGTGGATAGAGTGTCAGTCTGTGGACTGAAAGGTCCCAGGTTCGATTCCAGTCAAGGGCATGGTTTTGGGCACATCCCCAATAGGGGTGTGCAGGAGGCAGCTGATACATGTTTCTCTCTCATCGATGTTTCTAACTATCCCTCTCCCTTCCTCTCTGTAAAAAATCAATAAAATACATTAAAAAATAAAATAAGGCTAATAATAAAGAGTATGGAACCTCATTACATCTCAGTTTGCTCTCGTGTAAAAGAATGAATGTTTTACCCAGCAGTTCTCAACCGTCTGGTGGCTATAAGAGAGGTGTGTCATTTCTGTGGAGGAGAAAAACAATGGGAAGTGAACATGGTTCACTGGACCTCACTCGGTGCAGAGGATTTGGAGATGCCCCAAACCTTCTCATCCCATGAGCAGGTGACCCCGGTCGCTCAGCTGTTCCTGGGAGGATGGGACAGGATCCAGGCCTGGCAGGAAAACTCAGGGGATCTCCATATTATCATTTGAAGATTCCTGTTTCAACAATAGCCACTATTTCTACTCTAAGAGGATAGGAATCAGAAGCATCAGCCCCCATGTAAAGCAAAACCTTGTCTCAGGAAAGTTTTTCAGACAATTACCATAATAAATCCTCCCAGGTGTAGTCTCTTTTCCCTGCAGGAGGTGCTGACTCCAACGGGGAACACACCTATACCTTCAAAACCAAGTCCAGTAGTGCAGCCAGTGCTATAGAACCTAGTTTGGGTTTTATATCTGGTTCCATCTTCTCTATGTGAATTTGGACAAGTTATTGAAACTCTGACATCTGTTCATTTCCTCATCTGTAGAAGAGGGTGTGGGTACCATCCCTGGCAGGGCAGCTGGGGGAGTCAGTTTGATGAAAAGTACTTAGCTCCATTACTGGCACAGGGCTCAGGGGTGGGATGTGTTTCCTGAAGCTCTGGAGGTGAGGTGTCTAGGCAGAGGTGTTTGGGTCATACAGAATCACTGCTGGTGTTTGGAATGTGGGCTCCGAAACCTATATTTCCTTTTAAATAAGAGGTCAAAGTGCCTAGGTATTATTTTAAAATATGGCTCGTGGGTTGGTGATCAACAGAATATATATTCTAATGGGAAACATGGATCAAAGAAGCCATCACAGAGGAGAGAATTCTAAGAGGAGAGAATTCCCAAGGAGACATTTGATGCCCTGTCCATATGCCCCACCTCTACCAGATGCAGCCTACATTGTCTCCATTGTTTGCTTTAAAATGGTGTTGTCTGCACATGTACAATTTGCTAGAGCACTTCTGGTGCCAACAAGATAAGTAATGAAGTAGCATATGGTTTATTTGAAAGAGTGTGAACATAATAGCCCTACTGCTACTTACTAGTATGAGTCTGGTCCAGTTGCTGAAACTCTAAGCCTCAGTTCCCTTGTCTATAGAATGTAGATAATAATACTTCTTTAAAAGATTGCTGTGATCTATATATATAAAAGCCTAAACGACCAAATGATAAAATGACCGAACAACTGGTTGACTGGTTGCTATGACACACACTGACCATCAGAGGGCAGAGCTGACAGATGGGTGCCAGATGCAGGGCTCATGGCTGGCCTCTGCAGCCGAGATACCACAGAGGAGCCAGCGAGCCTACCGAGCAACAGCGGCAGTGGCAGGGGCAGCAGGGAGGGATGAGCAGGAGCAGCAGGCAGGAGCGGCAGGCGCCATTGGACTGCTGGTTTTGGTCTAATCCCTGTAGGCCATGTCAAGGAACCCTACATGCACTGGGCTCTAGTGTTTAAATAAAATCATATTTGTCAGCAACTTAGTCCATAGGGAGCACTTTATAAACAGCTCTTATTCTTTGTGTGTGTGTATGTGTGTGTGTGCTTTTTTGGCTTTCTACTTTTTCTCTGGTTTTCTTCCAGTGTTGGGTGCATTTGCTCTGTCCCTGTATTACCTTTTCTAGAGTCACACAACATGAACGATATGTAACTCATTTCTAACACTATCTTGTCCTATTGGTTAATTAATAATTTTAGTTAGTTTGGGTGCCAAAGGTTTATGCTCTTTAGGAATCTGTGCCCTGTTCACCCAGATGGAGTTTGAATTCCCTGTGGCCTTTGACTCGGGAGATCTAAGATGACTGAGTACTCAACAGTAAACAGTCATGACCTTGTAACCACTAGACAGTGAGTTTCTTTGCTCTTGGTCTGTCTCTTGAGTAGAGTTCTTTTCCATGGTCTCAGTCAAACAATGCTATTTTCACCTACATTGCTTCTTCCAACGTGGAGGACCCCCAAATCCTTTGCTGGGATGATTCCTACCTAGGTTAGTGCTAGCTATGGACTAAATTATGTCCCCCAAAATTCAAATACTGAAGCTCTAGCCCCCCTATTGTGATGGTATTTGGAGGTAATTCGGTTTAAAGGAAGTCATGAGGGTGAGGCTCTCATGATAGAATTAGTGCCCTTAGAAAAAGACACCAGAGAGATTTGCCATGTGAAGAGAGTGAGGAGGTAAACTGTCTGCAAGCCAAGAAGCAGGTTTTCACCAGGGAACCTAAAGAGCTGGCACTTGATCTTGGACTTCCCACTCCATGCCTATGAGAAATCAATTCCTGCTATTTCAGCCACCAGTCTATGCTATTTCATTACAGCAGCCTGAGCAGACTAGGCCAGTGTCTACCTGTATTTCTTCCCAAGCCGATTGGACTATGAAAATGGGAAGTTAAAACCTAAATACTTCTCTTATATTAAAAACAGCTAGCTATAGGAATTAAATTTCATTGTTCATTGATCTTGCTTCCCTGCAAATAATAGGTATTTCCTACATTTAAAATATATGTACTATGCCTTTATAAAATATAGGTGCCAATCATAATGTTAACATAAAAACATTCAAATCTGTAAAGAATTTTTGTGAGTTTATTTGAGCCAAACTGTCAATAATCACTGGGAAGCAGAATCTCAATGGATTGGGATAATGCTCCAGAGAATGGTGGTTTTCCACCTTGTTTTATACAGTATAATCAAAGGAGGGGGTGCAAGTGGATTACATGCAATCCACTGGTGATAGATTAGAGAGGCGAGAGAAAGTAAAGCAGGGTGGGGGGCACCTCTGGGATTGGACAAAAAATAAAATTACTTGTGTGGGTACAGGATAGTTAACAGTCAACAATTAACATGATAACAATAACAATGAAGGAATTTGTGGTATCTATCCTGGCACCCAGAGCATTTGGTTGTGCCCTGAGCAGTCGGAAAAGGGGGGGGTGGGGGGGGAAGGAAGTTACAAGTTACCCTGAAATTTCAATGATATGTCATTGTAGATACAAAAAGAGAGTAAGCTTAAGGTAAAATTGACCATGTCAGGGAAGATACTGGCTTAGGAGGTGACTACATAACTGCTTTTAGTTAAAGTTTAGTTTCAGATCATCCTTTGTGGTTACTTTAGATCTTTGAGTTTGCAAGACCACCATGCAGGCCTTCCCTTAGTTTGTCAGGTTAACATGTGGCCCATTTCGTCCACAATTCAAAAATCTAAAAGTTTGATGTTTGTATATAACAAACATTAACAGTAGACAATCTAAAGAAGCCACAGTAATAACAACAATAATGATGCTAATAATGATAATATTACTACTAATAATAATGGTTTCCTACCTACTGCATGTCTCTTATGGCTAGATGCTGTGTTAAGTGCTATACAAATGTACTATTCAAATTAATCTGCATATACATCCGCAGGAAGTATTATATCTCTTATTCTAAAACAAGGAAGCTGAGGTCTGAGAGGCTGACTAATTTGCCCAAGGTTACACAGCTGGTAGTGGACAGAGATGGGCATTACTGGGTTGTGAAAAAGGCTATGACAATGATGATAATGAGGAGTCTCCTGGGCCCATAAACCAGGAGGACCTGGGCAGGAGGATGAGGACAAGGTCCATCAGGTAGCAGTGAATGGGTGCATACCTAGTGCCAATGCATCCACTTCTCCCCTACTCCCAACAGCCCACACTCCCTGCGGCAAGCACAGACCAAGGCAGGGGGCTGGGTTGCAGACACTGTGGGTCTGTGGGGCTATAGCCACTGCTTGCTCATGTGACATAGTGTGGTGATTCCACTATTGCTCTGAGTGGTTATCAAAGCCTCACTGAAGCACCCAGGGAAATATGTTTTATTCCCTTTGGCCTAGAGGCATCTTTTAAAAAATATTTCATTGATTTTTTCTTACAGAGAGGAAGGGAGAGGGATAGAGAGTTAGAAATATGGATGAGAGAGAAACATCAACATCAATCAGCTGCCTCCTGCACACCTCCTACTGGGGATGTTCCCGCAACCAAGGTACATGCCCTTGACAGGAATTGAACCTGGGACCCTTCAGGTTGCAGGCCGACACTCTATCCACTGAGCCAAACCAGTTAAAGCGCCTTTAGGCATCTTGTTCAATCAGCTGGATTCTGTAACCAAAGAGGAAACAATGACTCCCCCTTCCATTCTCTTCCTGCCCAAGAGACTTTGCTCAGCCAAAACTACTGCCACTGCTCAGAGGTTGGGGAGAGTTTTTCTGGATGCACACTTTGGATGAAGCAGGACATTGTAGGCTCTGCATGGTCAGTGGTTCTTTACGCCATGCTATTGCCTTCCCACTTCCCTTGACAAAGAATTAAGGGCTTCCCCCTCTCTATAATGGAGTCTTTGAGTTCCAATGTAGAAGTATGTTCAACTCACTGAAGTCTGAGTTGGTCAAAGTCATGACTCTTAATTTGGAGCATAGCAATTAGGAGACACGTTGTTGCTCAGCCTCAAATATCCTGGCTACCACCCTATAGGAGCTGTAACTCAGCACTGCCTTTCCCAGGCCATGACCAACTATCCTGTTCTGTTAGCATGACTCACCGAGAATGCCCACCTTTTGGGTCTCTGGAGCTGTGCCCTGGGAACGTGCCAGGCACATTTTCAGCAGGTTCTTAGGCCTGGCTTCTTGCCCAGAGTCTCCACTACAACGTTGGCCAGCCTCCTGAGATTTGGCTGGAAGCAGTAAGGACTGAACTTGGCTGACTGGCCCACATCCCAAGTGCCCTCATTTCACAGGACATCCGGCTTTTTGTCTGCCTTCCTGACTGGCCCGTGAAGTTGCTCAGAACTCTGCTGCCCACAAAACTTCCATCCCCTTCCCTCCAGTGTCTCTTCCTGTGAGGTAAAGGAGAGAGGACAGCCAGGTTTATCGCTGTCCTAATATGAAGACAGAGGTGCTATAAATTAATACCCTAGTATGTAAGGGTATTAATTTATAGCACCTCTGTCTTCTCGAGATGCAGAGTAAACTGAAGAAGACCCAATTATCAGTTAAAGACCAAAAACACTAGTTGTGTCACTGCTAAAGCAAGATCTGAGAAGGCAGCTTGGACCGGCAGCCTAAGTGGCTTCCTCTCCATTTAGTAAGAGATGTCCTCAGCCAGAGCAGCTAGACCAGTACAGGCCACTTTTCCAGGGGCAATATCTTCCCTGAGGGCTTACAGATGGACAAAGATGTATGGGGACTTCAGGGAGGCAGAGAGACAGAAGGGAGGCCCCATGAGTCCCACCCAACAGGGAGTCATGGACCAAGAGTCTAGCCCCGTGGTCAGCAAACTGTGGCTCACGAGCCACATGTGGCTCTTTGGCCCCTTGAGTGTGGCTCTTCCACAAAATACCACAGATAGGGTGAGTCTATTTTGAAAAAGTGGCGTTAGAAGAAGTTTAAGTTTAAAAAAATTTAGCTCTCAAAAGAAATGTCAATCTTTGTACTGTTGATATTTGGCTCTGTTGACTAATGAGTTTGCCGACCACAGGCCATTGCTCCTAGGGCCGATGGAAGAGAAAGGAAAGGAGAAAGAAGGCAGCAACTTTCTTGTACATCCCAAACTTGTGGGCTGGTGGGAACCCAGGGAGTGGGAATAGCAATCACCTCCAACCCCATTCTGAACCCCTTCCCTATACACATCCAAGAGTTGTATGCACAAGCACAAAAGGGAAGACTTTTGAGGCAAGTGAGAAAGAAAGAAAGAAGAGGCCAGAAAAAAAGTGTAAAGGTAGAAGGAAATACTAGAAATATGAAACATACTCAAGAATAATTCAAAGATTCAAATATCTACTATCTTCTAGACAGTTTCCAAAGTACTACACATTATACACTGTGACCTGAACACACTAAGGTGACAGAAAAGAAAGAAAGGAGAAGAGTGGTTGACTTTCTCAAGTAACAAACCATATGCTCAAACTCAAAAATATACCTTTCATAAATTTTACTAAGAGTGGAATATTTTTAATGACCAATACTTTTTTTTATTAAAGCAGTTAAGCACCTGATGCAATATAAACTAAGAGTCCTATCTTCATTGTTCAGTTAGTCCAGGAATTAAAGATCACTAACATAACCAGGTTAACTCATTTTTCAGGATGGTACTATTTTCATCTCTTTTGAAAATGCTGGGAGTTTGGAAGTGGCATTGCCAGGTCAAAGGGAAATCTGGCACCTTGGACAAAATAGCCTGTGATCTCATAGCAGAGGCTGCCAACCACTCCCACCAATGGGAGGATTTCCTTCATGCCCAAGGAAGTCACAGGTTTTGTATACTAAGAGAACAGGAGGTGGGAATCAGGCCAGTACTTAACAGTGTGTGCTAGTAGGCCTCCCGAGAGGTGTTCTAGGAAGGCCACACAGACTTGGGAGGGAACAGGAACTCGTGCGGTACAGCTGGCTAATGTCCTTGCATTCATCACGTTGGAACCGACTTGGTAAGAATAGCAGTGCACACTTGACAGAAGTGCCCATCAATGCTATTTTTAAAAATACCTAGGGGCTTAACATTTTTTTTTATAAAAATAACTTGGTATGCTTTGCATACAAGCACCATCCATTAAAAGAGAAATTTATGGCAGCTCTGTTCCTCAGTGATCTCATCAATAGAAGAATAGAAAGACATTTGCCTTTGAATGCAGGGTAAAAGCTAGCACATCAAAGTGGGAACCGTTTTTTGCAGTTTTCCTCCCAGGATTTAGCACCGCTTCTTGAAAATGTGTTACGTGCAGAAGGACTTTCTTATGATATTGGAGGAGACAGAGAAGGATTCAAGGTTGTTGACTCTTACACAGAAACAACAGACACAAATCACATTTAAGTATACGAATAGGCAGTACTTGGGATACGCTTTGTGCATGATAAATCAGATGTATTCAAATGGACCATTGGATGATTACATGTACATGATTGCATGATTTCATTCCACAGGGGTCTTCCTCTCCTTGGCTGGCTTTAAGGAACCAAGAAGTCCTATTGGGGAGCATAGGTGTCAAGCAACGATGGGAGGTTTCAAGCAGTTGAGGGCAGCCAGCCTCCAGCCTCTAGCCAGGAAGAAAACAGGCCAGATTCAAGGGACTGAATTCTGCCCACACCACATGAGCTTGGAAGTAGTTCTGTGTAACAGTCAAATCTCAGATGAGACCCCAGCCCTGGCTGACACCATGACTCCAGCCCTGGAGCAGAGGACCCAGTCACATCATGCCTGGACTCCTAACATACACACACTAAAAGATAATAATGTGTATCGTTAATTTATTTTTAGAATATGTTTTTATTGATTTTTACAGAGAGAGGAGGATGGAGAGTAGAGAGATAGAAACATCAATAAGAGAGGAACATCAATGATTGGCTGCCTACTGCACATACCCCTACTGAGGATCAAGCCCACAACCTGGGCATGTGCCCTGACCAGGAATCGAACCAGTAACCTTTTGGTTTCTAGGTTGATGCTTAGCTGCTTAGCCACACTGGCCAGGCAATGTGTATTGTTTTAATCTGTTAAATTTCTGGAAATGTTATTAGAGGGCAACAGAAAAACAAATATAATCTGTTTCCTACAGTGGAATGACCAGCAGTCATTGGTGTCAGAGGACATCTTTAAGAAAGTCCATGAGAGAGCCAAAGGAACAGGTGGTGGTATAAATACCTCGAGTTACAGTTAGACTAACTGGAAGATCAGACAAGAGACTCTGCAATATCACATTCTGAAATGACCTTGGAGAAAGTTCACTTCCCACATAGTTCCTATTAGACCAAAAAGATACTTTTAAATTTTAACCATAATACAAATGCAGAAACAGTAGGCACATCTTTCTCATTCCTTAAAGCAAAGAACAGACTTCATAAAAAAAAAAAGAGGTTCGGAGGTCAATATTTTCTTTCTTTGTTAACAATGTAACATGATGTGGGGTGAAGAAACTAAATTAAGAAGATAAAATGGTTCCAAGCCAATTCTCTTCCGCCCATTTTGTCTTCTGCCTCTGGGGCAGGGCTTCTTCAGGGTGGTGGTGCTGCCAGTCAGAGGTCCCGTGGAGCAGCCAGTACAGTTGCAAACAGCTCTGAACAGCTGCCCCCGACAACGGGAAAGAGATGCAAAGGCCCAGAGGGACCCTCATCTCACACTCCCCCCGTGAGAGAGCAGACAGCCGAGCTTCCTCCTCACCTGGAGAAAGATGTGTTACAAACCCTGATGGCATTCAGTTTCCACATGGGAGCCAGGACTTCTGATTTGTAAAGTGCCTGGAGACAATCCTACTGTATGTGACATGAGGAAGAACGAGTGACCTGACCAGGATGATTCTGAGTCAGAAGTAATGGGATAGCTCAGGACAAGGACTCCTGGTTCTGCGAAAGCCATGTCACCATTCAGAGCACTAGGAAATGGAAGTATGAACTCCAGCCCCCGCATGGCCAATAGGGCTCAGTGTGCCACCCTAGCTTGAACTGATGGGAAGGGCTGCCAGAGTGCCGATGGAAGGAGCTGGAGCTGATCCCGCTGGGATGGAAGAGTGATACTCTCTGGCTTGGAAGCCAAAGGAACAGGGAGCCAAGGCGCTCAGGTATCACATACACATATCTCTGAGGACACGTGAGGACAGAGCACTGAAGAGGCCCAACAGCAAAGGAACAAACTGCCTCCCAGGTTGTAAGCTCTGCTGAAAAACCTTCTTTTGTTCCACAAACACTGGCAAGACTAAAAGTTGATACCTTTCCATGCTAAACAAGGCAAGGTGTTTTGTTTTTGTGTTTTTCCATTTGGCTTATTTTTGTTTTTACATATGGACCCAGAAGCCCTGGGACTTAGCGGCACTTTTATGAAGACTTCTCTCAGGGTTTAATCCTAAGCAGTACAATTTTCATTAACATCAGCAGTTTAAGTAGCTGTTGAAATTAAATGCCATTTAGAAGCAAAGCCAATGTAGAAAATTGTACACTATGCTTATCAAAAGGGCTCCACAGTCATTTATACATACGAGTGCAAATTATTTTCCCAGCAAATTTACTTGATTTCCCACCTGCAATATGAATTACAGGCACTTTGCCTTCTATAGTAAGCTTCCAGAACGCAGCTGAGCTATCCATAAAAGCATCTCCAAGTCGATGTTAGCCTTACTCTTACAATGCTTTAGTTACTAAAATTTTAGCACCATGCACACCTAACCCTGCAAACCTACCAGCTGCCACTGCTGCCCATTGCTTAGTGCCCTTCAGCAGCAGCTGGGAAGGAGTGGCATGTCTTGTTTCCTGTTTAAATTTTCTCTTCTTTTCTTTTCTTTTTTCAGTGAAATGTGTTTGGATCTAAAATGGAACATTTCCATTAGCCCATTTCCCCTTCCCCGCTATTTCTATTTCTATTTCTATTTCTAAAGAACTACCAACTGCTCAGGCCTGGCTCTTCTGGGAATCTGCACTACAACCCAGGCCACTTGCCACCTGTGTATGCAAATTAACCCACTATCTTTGATGGGTTAATTTGCATGTTCACTCCTGATTGGTTGGTGGGCATCACAAAGGTACATTCAATTTGCATCTTTCTCCTTTATTAGTGTAGATAATGTAGATATAGACTCAACCCAATAGGTATCAGTAGCACGCCCATATACAGGGATGTTTCTAGGCAATACCAAATGTCCCCTGTGGGTCAAATTTGTCCCTCTGTGGGAGTCACGGCTTTTAGATCATTCAACATAATTTAAGAAACTGTCAGGAAGCAGATCCAGAATCCTGAGAGGACTAGTCTGGAAAATGGAGAAATGCATCAACTGGTAAAGCATAGCCTGCTGGGTAGCAATCTGTGCTCTTCTCAATGAAATCAACACTTTATGAGTGCAAGCTCAATATTTAGCTTTTAATGAAGGAACCTAGAAAATCAACTTGGAACTAACCACTGTCCTCCCTTGCCAGCCTGGTCCCTCCTAACTGCCCTCCCCTGCAGGCGGCCATCTTTGACCACATGGGGGCAGCCATCTTGTGTGTTGGAGTGACAGTCAATTTGCATATTACCTCTTTATTACATTGGATTGGGCCTCACTTGTTGCTGGCACTTCAGTGGGTGTGGTAAGTCCTCAGGCTGACTGGATGTGAGGCTGGCCACAGCTGCTGCAGATGAGCTGATGCATGGGGGTCTGACCTATGGAGTAGGGTGTGCTTTAGTGTGGCCCTGGTGCCAGCAAAGCTACCTGTAGGTGTGTTGTATGTGGAGCTGGTTCAGTGGGGCTCAGGTATAGTGTGAGGCTGGCCTCCACATATATTGTGTTTGGAGCCTATTGGGAGGGGCTCTGATGGAGGCCAAGGTCAATTGCCATTTGTGCTGGGCTTGGGGCTGCTTGGTAGGAGCTACAAAGTGATATAAGGTTGTTTGATGCTTGTCCTGGGCATGGAGGTGCTTGGGAGAGGCTATGCTCTGAACCAAGGCCAACTGCCACTTGTGCTGAGATTTGGACACTTTGGTGGGTACTATGATGCAAGCTGAGGATAGCTGCTGGGCTTGTGGCTGCTTAGTCGGAGCTATGTTACAGGCCAAGACTGGTCACTGCTTATGCCAGGCTTGGGTCCACCTGGTGGGATTTACAATGCAAGTTGAGTCTGGATGTTGCTTGTGCTCGGATTGGGACCATTTGGCAGTGAAACATGGGATGCTGGGAACAGATCTCGCCCTTGCAGTTCTTGCCTCATGAAGTTTGAAGAATAAAATTCACAGACAAGAAGGACTTGCTAGTAAGAGGGTGGAAATTTATTGGAAGCAAGTACATATTCCCAAGGGGGTAATCCACTAAGCCCCTTTTTTCTAAGGTTTATAAATTTTTTGTTTCTTCATGCTCCCTTCTAATTGGACCCCTCCCCCATTTTATGACCCCATGCTTTTCTAATTAGTCACTGTTTTTGTAGAATATCAGCTTCAAAGCTCCAAATCCATGGTGGTGCCCCCCCTTCTTTCTCTCACCCTTATCTAGCAACATTCCTTTATCTCCTGCAAACATGTGTTTCCCTTCTTCTAGCATCTGTCGACATTTCTCTATCCTCTGTGAAAGTATGCTTCCTTTTCCCCCTTAGTCTAGCTTTTCTTGATCTTCCTCTCCCCTTATCCTGTGGCACCTTTCTATTATCTGTGAATGCATGCCTTCTGGTGGCTCCAAGCCCTCACCTATGCATTCTTCCCCAAAGACCCTCTTTATTCCTAAGACTCCCTAAACCTGCCTGTCTTATCCATAGAATTCCTTCCAGCAGGAATGACAATGCAGGCCAAGGCTGGGCACTGCTTGTATAGTGTTTGTGGACCTTTGAGGAAGTTTTTAGTGAGATCCAAGTGTGGCTGCCACTTGTATTGGATTTGCAGACCTTTGAGAAAGTCTTCAGCATGAGTCTAACCTCTTTTGTGAGGGTTACAGATTTTGGGAAATGTCTGCAGTAGAAGCCACCATAGGCCTCTTGTGTGGAGGAACTGATGGAAGAAGCTCTGGCCAGGCAAGCAAGTTGGCTGGGGCAGGTTCTCAGGGAGTCACCAGGATGGGGTGAACAGTGTTAGCCAGGTTAATGGAAAGCACAGATGTGGTGCCCACCTTCTGGATGTGAGGAGAGTTCTGCAAAGGAACAATGGCACCTGCCAGAGCTTCTTTCCTGGGAGAACGTTCCAACCCACACCCCTCCAGCCCTCTCCCTGAAGTCAGTTTAGTTTCTCAATTCAGTTTCTCCCCATGTGTCTCTGGTGCTTTTCAGGCTGCTGCCTCTGCACCAGAGCCTTGAGCGAGTGAGTTTGTGAGGAAGTGAATCTTTGTGCAGGCCCTTTAAGAGTGGTGCCTGTGTGTCTAACAGCACTTTGTCTTTCTCAGACACAATCTCCACTAGTTCTCACAGCCAGATGGTATGGGGACTCCTCTTCACACTGGTGCCCCTGGGCTGGGAGCTTCTTGTGGGGCGATGGCCCTCCACTCCACAGCGGACACCTCTGCAGCTGAGATAGCCCTTCTGTTTCCTAATTGCCACAGGGTGGGTGTTAGACCTGCTTGTTCGGTGTCTCCACTCCTCCTTGCAGTGTTGATGTGGCTTCTTTATATCCTTAGTTATAGAACTTCTGTTCAATTGGTTTCAGGTGGTTTTCAGTGATAGTAGTTCTAGAAATTTGTTGTAATTTTGATGTAATCATGAGAGATTGCAAGTTTAGAGTTCACCTACTCTTTCATCTTGAGCCTCTTGGTAGTTCTCTTTTTAAATTTTTAAGGAGCCGCATACTGTTTTCCATAGTGGCTGCACCAATTTACATTCCCGCCAACAGCGGACAAAAGTTCCCCTTTGAAAGGACCTAGCCAAACGCTTGCTATTTATGTCTTTTTTTTTTTTAATCATAGCCATTCTAACAGGTAGGTTTCATTTGCATTTCCCTGACAAAACCAACTGAGTTTTTAATGTTAATCTTGTGATCTACAACCTTGTTCAATTTATTTACTAGTTCTAGTAGCTTTTCTGTGGATTCATTGGAATATTCTAGATGTAGCATCATGTCATTTGCAAATAGTAGTAGTTTTATTCTTCCTTATCAATACATTTTATTTCTTTTTCTTGCCTAATTGCTTTACCTAGAATATCCTGTAAACTATTGAATTATCAATTTTCTGATTTTAAAAAAATGTTATCTTTATTGTTGAAAGTATTATTATTTTCAACCACCTCTGCATTCCTGGCATAAATCTCAGTCATGATGTATAACTTTTAAAACTCTTTATTAGATTCGATTTCTTAGTACTAATAGGTACTAGTAGTAATAGTAATTAGTACTAGTAGTAATTAGTACTAGTAGTAATTATTACTAGTAGTAATAGTAATTAGTACTATTACTAGGTCTAGTAATAATTAATGTCGTTTTCTAATACTTTTTAAAATCGAATTTATTTAAACAATACAACAAAATTTAATCAACAATACAGTTGCCGTTGTTTTCTACTACTTGTGCCCAACGCTCAGGAAGCATTTTAATCCCTCTGTTGTAAAATTCTTGTGATTTTGATGCAAAAAATTCGGTCAATGCATTTTTGAGGCATTCTTCATTATTAAATTTTTTTCCAAGAAGAAAGTTTTGCAAAGAACGAAACAAATGGTAATCGGAAGGGGCAATAGCAGGAGAATATGCAGGTTGAGGGAGAACTTCCCATTCCAACTGGCGCAGTTTTTCAGCAGTGATTCTTGCAGTATGCGGTTGTGCGTTATCGTGGTGAAGAATTACGCCCTTCTGATTAATCAGCGCGGGTTCTTTTTCTCTTAAAGCTTGGGCTAACCTTTCCAATTGGGCACTATACACTGCACTTGTAATGGTTTGGTTAGATGGTAAAAGTTCATAATGAAGAATTCCTTTAAAATTCCACCAAACACACAACATAACTTTTTTCGCATGCAAGTCAGGTTTTGGCGTGGGCTGCGGAGTCTCATTTTTGTCTAGCCATTGAGGCCGCCTTTTCAAATTAACATACAGCACGCATTCTTCATCTCCGGTAACAATTTGCTCTAAAAACGGCAAACGGTTTTGACGAGAGAGGAGCGAACTGCAAGTTGTGACTCTTTGATTACGGTTGTTGTCGGTCAACTCATGAGGAACCCATTTTCCAAACTTTTGGACTTTGCCAAGTGCACGCAATTGATTGGAAATTGTTTTTTGTGAACAATTTAAAGTTGTCGCAAGCTCTTGTTGGGTAATTTGAGGATTTTGCACCAAAAGAGCTTGAAGAGCTTCTTGATCAAAATTGGACACACGGCCTCGACCACTCTTGTCATCTAACGAAAAATTTCCCTTGCGAAATTTCTCAAACCAACGCTGGCATTTTCTGGTGCTAACTGCATCTTGACCAAGAGCACTACAGATGTTTTTTTCAGCCTCTCTTGCTTTTCTTCCTAATTGGAACTCGTAAAGCATGCAGTGCGGAATATGCTCTTCATCCGCCATCTTCTTAGCCCTAGTTTTGCAACAAAAACCAAACCAAACACAAACTTTTTCAAGCAAAACTTGTTAATTGCACTTCACACGTTCTGTAGATACCACGTGTTTGAAGGTTATGTCAATACAAGTCAACGCCAAGCAAGATTTTAAACGAATGTTTAAAAACGACATTAATTATTACTAGACCCGATATTTGGTTAAGGAACTTGCACCTATATTGATAGCGGATATTGGTCTATATTGTCTTTTATTATGTCTTTATCTAGCTTTGGTATCAGAATATTTCTGGTCACATAAAATGTGTGAGGAAGTATTCCTTCAACTTTTACTTCATCCCCACTTGAGGACATTTTTCCATTGTTTTTTGTTTTTTGAGAGAGAGAGAGAGAGAGAGAGAGAGAGAGAGAGAGAGAGAGAGAGAGAGAGAGAGAGAGAGAGAGAGAGAGAGAGAGTATGTGTAAGGGAGGACGAGAGACAGAGAAATATTGATGAAACGCATCAATTAGTTGTCTACCGCACTCAGATCGAGCCTACAACCAAGATACATGCGCTTGACTGGAATTGAACCCATGACCCTTTAATCCACAGGCTGATGCTCTATCCACTGAGCCAATCAGTTAGGGCCCTCAACTTCTACAATATTTCTTGGGAAACTTTGAGAAGGATTGATGTTAATTCTTTAAACTTTTGTAGCCTTCACCAGTGAAGACAATTGGTCCTGGACTTTTGCTGGGATGGTTTGATTACTGCTATTTCTTGTGATAGATCTGTTGGAATTTTCTATTTTTTTCTTGAATATTTGGGTAATTTGTAGGAATTTGTCCATTTCATCTAGTTTATCTAATTTTTTGGCATATAACTGTTGATAGTATTCTCTTGTCTTTTTTATCTCTATCGGGTTAGTGGTAACATCCCTACTTTCATTTCTGATATTACTTATTTGTATTTTCTCTCTTTGTTAGTCTGGCCAAAGATTTTTAAATTGTTTATCCTGTTAAAAAACACACACACAATTTTGTCAATTATCTGTAGTTTTAATTTTGTTTACCTTTATTTAACTTGCTTTCTAGTTTTACATGGTTTAAAGTTTAGATTACTAATTTAAGATTTCTTCTTTTTAAATTTGACATTCACAAATATAAATTTCCTTATAAACAATGCTTTATCTGTACTCCAGAAGTTTGGGCATGTTGTTCTTATTTTTATTATTCTTAAAACATTTCTTTCTTTTCCTTTGATTTCTTCTTCTTTCCCATTGGTTATTTGTAAGCAAGTTGTTTAATTTCTATATATTTGTGAATTTCCCCCAATATTCCTATTATTGATTTCTAATTTTACTTCATGTTATGTAAGAACATATTTTGTATCATTACAATTTTAAATTTACTGTGATTTGTCTTATGGCCAAATTTATAGTCTGTCAACATCTCCACATACTTGGAAAAAATATATCTCTCTGTGTTGTTGAGTGTTTTTAGATGCATTTTAGGTCTGGTTGTTCTATAGAATTTTTTAAGTCTATTTCCATGTTGATCTTTATTGTTTTATCTTTATTGAAGCTTTATCTTTCTGTTCCTCAAACTAGATAATTTCAAGTGACTTATCAAGTTGAATGAGTCTCCTTACTAAATTTTTCATATTTATGATGGTACTTATATCCAGAACTTCTCTGTTCATTTAAAATATTTGTCTATTTTTATATTCTCTAGTTGTTGAGACTCTATACAAGTTTTTGAGTAAAAAATGCGCTAGAACTTAGTGAATTTTGGTAGCATAGGTCCTGGAAGCATGGATGTTTAGATCTCCCAACAGTGAATGTGAACAGAGATAAAGGCCCAGGGCCCTCGATGTACAATTCGGCCTTGTTACTTCCTAGTTAGTTGGGGCCAGGACCAGCAGCAGCGGCATCACTTGGAGCTGGTTAGAAATGTAGAATTTAATCCCTACCATGATCCACCAAATCAAAAGCTGCATTTTCACATGATCTCCAGGTGATTTCTATACCCTTAAAGTTTGAAAAGCAATGGGCATAGGGCATGCAATCCACACTTTCAGAGCCACAAGGTACCACACACCATTATTTTCAGAATAGCAACTTGGCATTTACTTATATGACATTGGTAAATGCCCATCTTCTTCTTTAAATTGAAACCTCACAAAAAAAAAAAAGTCTTCTTTCTGTTGTATCCCAAAGACAACTACAAGTAAGTACTCTAAAATCTGTCAAAAAAAAAATAAAAAAATGAATGGACTCTGGAATCTCATACTTATCTGCTGCCTCCAAACCCCAACCTCAAATAGGTTTCAAAAGAGGTTTAATATTTATTTTAATTTTTTGTCAATTACAGTTTATTTTCAATATTATTTTATACTGGTTTCAGGTATACAGTGGTTAGACAGTCATATACTTTATAAAGTGTTCTCTCCAATATTCCCAGTACCCTCCTGGTACCATACATAACTATCATATTTTTAATTTTTTTTAACATATTCAAAAAACATAAGCTTTCTCAGATCTCCTAAGAATGAGTAAGAAGCATCTCTGAGATAAGGGAACTTCAGTTTTTTCTTTACCCTTTGCTTAAAGTTTGTGTTTATTCAAAACTTAAGTGTCCTAGCTACTAGTATTGGAAAGAAAGAATCTATTTAATCATATTCTCTATAATTTTTTAGAACAGATTTTTAACCTTGCATCTCATTTTTTCCTTTATAGTTTTCTCCATTAGAAAAAGTTGTTGGGAATATGAGTAAAATGTCATAAATAAAATCAACACTAGTAAAAAGGCTTTTCATATAATTTACATATATTTATATATTTATTTATAGCTTATACCACTTTTCCATTTAAAAAATTGAGGCAAATGTTTACAACTAATGAGATATAAGAAAACCAAAGCAATTTGCTAAGGTATGACATGTTATATGAACTGATTACTTTCCCTGTCCATGATGCTGAATAATGATCTCATATTTTATAACCTAGAAAGCATAATAATGTGGGCAATTATCTTTGTCCCCAATCAGCCAAGCAGTAAATATCCTCCCAATAAAAAATAATTAAAAACAATAAGAAATAAACAACCGGTATTATTAACTGTTTTTATTTACAAAGAATTATTTTTATTTGGCTGTTTGGAAAACCACTAACATTTTTTCACTTTAGAAAACATTAAATAATAAACAAGATGTTATACAGTACTTTGGATAACTTCTTCCATCAGTGTAGTGCAATGCATTATTGGCACCGAAAAGTGAAATTTTCAATTATTTTCCCCTTTCATCTTTAGTTGTGCAGTTATAAGACCCAAAAGGAAAAGAATCATTGAGAAGAGCTCTAAGGCCATATATGCTGGCCCCTACCCAAAGGCTCACTGATTTATCCTCCCCTGCCGCCTGCCTCCACCAAGTTAAATGACAAAAGGTATTATAGGTGTACTAGAATAGGCATACTATTATACCCATTGTTCAAGAAACCCATTACCATTGTGGAACTTGGGAGATTCAATTGATAAAGAGAAAGTGAGCTATACAACTTAGGTGAAGGGGAAGGCCTGGCAGTGGTGTGGGGCATGTGCTCTGTATCAGTAGCCAAGCTAAGTTGTCACACACATTGCAGAGAGAGTGCACCAGTTAAAGTCGCTGTAAACTATGTTCTTTGCTATGGTCTTTAAAAATCTGAAGTGTCAGCCACTGAGCAAGTGAAAGGGTTATATACCTTTTCCAAGAAAAAAACAAAACAAAACACATTAGGACACAGAAATATTAAAACATCTGCCTATTATACTCTCTTTTTGGAATAATATATATATGTATATATATAATGTTTTTTTTTTTCTTTTTTGTTTTAATACTGCTAGGTTTTCCATACAGGGAAAGCTCAGCATTTGGTGGGCTTGTCCCCTTTTGATTCCTCTCCGTTAGAAGCCAAAGAGGGAAATGCCTAAATTAAACCCTGGCCTGGTCCAAATTACTTAGTCTGGAGATTTTCATGACACAGGAATAGGAGCAAAACATATTTTGGGAGATTGTGTAATCTATTACTCTTTCTTAAACATCCTTAACCACCTTAAATAGACAAAGTTTCATCTAGCTTTTTAAAAGCCTCCAAGATAGAGACACTCCTTTATAAGGGATTTTCGGATTCTATTTTAACAACTGTCCCTGCCAGAAAGCGCTCCCTCATGCTCTGGTCTAAGCCTGCTTCCTCTTGTTCTATTCTTAGTGCACGCGGAGAACAGCTGGCCACCATCCTCTCTGCACCAACCCTCCACGCACTGGAAAACCAGCAATGTTTTGCCCCTCAGTCTTCTCTTCTCCAGGCTGAGTAATCCCAGTTCCTTTAATTTTTCATCACAGATCTCCCCCTCCCCCCCCAACCCTTTCATCATCATTGTGATTCCTGGCAAAAACAGCAGAAAATATTTGATTGCTTAATCAGAAGTGAGGAAAAGTCTCAGTAGTAAGCTGCATTTTAAAAATGATATTCTTTTTTAATATAAAGCTTAAAAAAAGCAAGGAGGAAAGATATTAGTTGGGGGTCCTTAGATCTCAGAATTCCAATCCTGTCTCATTGCTCTAGTGCGTGAGTCCTATTCCAGCACATCCCTTTCCTCAAAGCCTCCATACCCATGCTGACACGGTAGCCCATAAGCTGTGAGCTAGAACTGCCTATGTTTATACTGATTTAAAAATTAATATGAAATCTATTCCAGGGGAGCTGCTCTCAGGCTTCTCCTCAGCCAGCTTCCAGAAACAGAATCCTTCCTCTGAGACAGCCGGGACTTCCTCCCAGGTCTTGCAGATTAGCGAAGAGAACCGTGTTATCCTGGGGTAGCCGTCGGGTTTTGAGTGCAGTGAGAAACAGTGCGGGTTGCACCCGTATATGCTAATGGCAGCTTCCTATCTAACTTGTTTCCTCTCCTTTGTAGGGATCAAACTCAAGGTATTTAAAACATTCATCCCTCCACGGCCACCACCTGACACCGTTTCCACATTTCTCTTGCTCCCGATAAAAGGTCATAGGACTGGACAACATTTCACCGTGTATTTTTAATTCAAGAGATCACAAGCTGCCTTTTCCCTTGCAACTGGAGCCTGTGAATATCAGGAACACGCCACTGCGTCATATCAACAGCACATTTACACAAAACACAATACCACTAATGAGGAATTACTTGCCCCACTTGACATAATTGTCTTTAAAAAGAAAAATACAGATAACAAGAATAAATGCATCTCGCTACGTTACACATCCTTCTTTCGTAAAGTGAATGGCAGTAAGAGAGTTCAGGCCAGGCCGGAGTGAACAGTGAGGAGGAGAAACAAAATTCACAAGCACATTGTACAGCGTATCTTAGGGGAGGTCAATACTACTCGTAGCACAGCACTGAACAGACAACAGAATGGCCGTCTGCACACATTTCTTTTGAAAATGTCTCCCGTGCTTTGCGACAAGGGACACCTTGTCACCAGGTTGAAGGATGGCCTAGGTCACCCGTGCGGAAGGCCAGCTCCTAAAAGAGCCACGGGATGTCGGCAGCACCCAAAGACAGCTTGCACGTGTCAAACAAATGCCCCTTCTGTTTCAAAGGGAGTGTCACTGTCCATTGGGATTGCACAAGAGCAGGCCAACAAGGGGGGGGGGGGGTCAACAGCCAGGCTTTCTCTGACCCACTGACCCACTCTCCTCCTAGGCATGACAGAAAGGAGGAGAAGACAGGAGATGAAGATTAGAGGAAGAGGAGGGGCAACACGGACGTTGATTGCTAGTTGCGGAGTTGCTGGCGCTCTTCGTAGCAGTGGCCTCTTTTCAAGCTCACATCATCCAATCCAATCTCCCCGGTGTGGCCACGCCTCTTTTCACCTTTGAAGATGACCTAGGGAGAGAACGCACAACTGGTCAGGCCTCCTCCGCCCTTCCCCAGGCCTGCCCAGACAGCAGAAAAAAGGCGAACTCCCCCCAGTTCTAAACAGTGAAGTTAATACTTCACGGAAGGAAAGACTAGAGAACAGTGTCACCCGAGGCCCTTGTTCTGGTAGAAACGGAACCCCCCAGGAAACTGGTCATCAGACCACGTTACTCAGAACCAGTTGCCCTTTGAAAGCCACACTACACTCTAGGCTGCTTCTGTGGACAGTTACCAAGGTCAGAAGTCAAAAGGCTGGGATGGCATGCAGAGGTGCGGACGCAGAGCCACAGCCTAAAAGGTCACCACCATGCAGCCTCCTCTGATGCTGCCGAGCTCCTCCCCGGGACTCAGGGACTCAGACAGCTTGGCTGCCAAATGGAATAGAAGCCAACGCCAAAAGCCATCACAGCATGGTTCTACTTATGCACAAACCAAGGACTTCTGCTATTCTTGTATTTTACCTTTGATAGCATCCTTGCTATGTTTCAAAACAAATGAAACCTGTCTATGCTGTGATTTGAAATGATATGACTTTTTATTTCTCTAAAAAACATAAATGAAGATATATTAAGAAAAAAAATTAAGAAAAAATCAGAGTAACATAAAATGTAAGACTCTGGTAAAAGCTGTGTGAATGGAGCCTACCTTTTCTTTCTAAAAGCGTTTACAGAAACTATACCTACCAGCATAGAGGCAGAATCTCCTCATAGTAACAGTGTTAGAAGCAGCAACGTAAAGAAGACATGTCCCAAGTAAGTTATTTCGGGGAGATGTTATAGATCACCTCATTGCTACATGTGACTTGGTTACTTAGGATAAAATTTATATATTCAAGCGTTCCCACATCCTGTCCTGAGCAGAACAGTATCTTTCAAGTCTATTGCTCTGGGTCCCATCCAAAGCTGCTTAACTATGCTCTCTCAGGCAAACAGGGAAAAATGGATTTTAAAGAAACCTTTTGGAGAAAAGCACTTTGGGTGACTCATGGTGGTCAGACATTGAAGTATAAGGAAGGAAAGAAAAATGCAAGAAGAGTTAAGCTCAGCACTCCTGCCTTTTGAAGTTTCTCTTAACATTTTTACTCATTTTCTTCAATAAAAGTAGGGGACTACCCTACGGTGGGGAGAGTGGTAGTGGTCATAGGTTATAATGAATAATGTAAGAAGAAGCAAAAAGTGGTTCAAAAAAAGAGGCAAGGAATGGAGTTGTCATGCCCAGAAAAATAACACGAAACTCTGTCGGAGCCTGAGTTACTAAGTAGAGCAATTCGGACCCCAGGGTTCTCCTAGGAAAGGAAAACCTCCCAGGTCCACGTCCTTCACGGTTCTACTTACGCTCTTGATGTCAGCCCCTCGCAGGGTGATCTGCGTTTGCCTCCAGCCGTGGCCACCGTTTCTTCCCCACAGGGCTGCTCCGTGGGCCCCCTGTCTCCTCACAAACACCTGGAGTGCGCCGGAGTGCAGCCCGGTGACCCTGTGCCGGAAGGACAGGCACAGGTCCCCGGAATGCATGAGGTGGCCCAGAGGCAGCACCAGGCGAGCGGCCTTTCCCCCGGGGCCCTTGGCTGCGGAGACCGCCAGGTACTGTCCCCCTGCAACGGGAAAGCAGGGCTGTGTGTTAACGTGTGGCACCCCTCTCCAGCACAGACAGTATGGCCAGTTTTCATCCGCTTCAAAGTCATTGGTAAAGAATTCCAGGCTATTGCGGGAGAAAGCGATGACCTATTTCTATGACCAGATCCCATGGTTTTGTGTTTACAGAAAACACTCGCCTGTTGTGCCCACGGAGAAGACACGTTATGCCAAAGACACACAAGGATCAAGAATCCCAATGCTGGGACCACTTCCAGTGGAATAGGATCGGACACACACAGGCGTGCACAAACACACACACTTTCACCACTTCCTGGTCCTCCTCAGGTTATGATTATGTTGTCAAGCTGGCTGGCTGATTAGGTGGTTGACGCAAGTTGCCAGGGAGAATTTTTCTACATGGATAATTAACCTCCGGGCAGTAGAGCAGATGTGGTTTAAAAGGGCATTAAATCTGTTTATTATATCTTCTCCCTGTTTTTATTAACTCCAGAGAGAAGACACCCTTGGACAATGCCAGAGCTTCCCTGGCCGGTGTGGCTCAGTGGGTTGAGCATTATCCTGTGCACCAAGTCAGGGCACATGCCCAGGGTTACGGGCTTGATCTCTTCAGGGTGGCTGTGCAGGAGGCAGTGGGCCAATGTTTCTCTGTCTCACTGATGTTTTTCTCCCTCTCCCTTCCTCTCTAAAATCAATCCTATACAATAAAAGGCTAATAAGCAAATAGACTGAATGGTAGAATAACTGGTCGCTATGACATGCACTTTGGGGGCAGATGCTCAATGCAGGAGCTGTCCCCTAGTGGTCAATGTGCTCCGAAGCCAGGCTCACAGCTGGCGAGCACAACTCCACAGTAGCGCTAAGGATGTCTGACTGATGGCTTAGGCCTGTTCCCTGTAGCTGTCAGTCAGACACCCCCCAAGGGCTCCCAGACTGTGAGACAGCACAGGCCAGACTGAGGGACCCCCCCGACTCCAGTGCATGAATTTTGTGCACTGGGCCTCTAATAAAAACATATTTAAAACTAAACTAAACCAAACTAAACAAAACAACAACAAAAAGCCAGAGCTTGCTATGCTTCTCACACTGGAGTACAGCTCACCCCACAAAGACGCAGGGGTGTTCTGGAAACCCTCCACTTCCTGGAACATCAGCCTTATTTAAAGATACGTGTGTTCTATAATAACAAATATATAATAAATACAATGTAATATATACAGTTATTATTACATACACATGAACACAAAGTGTTAATAAAAGCTGTCACTTTGGGCGGACACTTTGTCTTCAGATCCCTGGGGCGTAGAGAGTGCCTCCCCATGATTAGAGGGATTGCAATTAGGGGGAAAGTTTGAGCAGCAGCAAGTCGGGGGGAAAACTGCTTCTCACAAGAGGGAAAGTTACAAGTCGTATTTGAAGTTCCATCCAAGTACAGAAGATATCCCTCTCAGGCTGCTTAATTGGAGCCAACTGAACACACACTGCGTTTCAGCACGGATTTACCACAGGAAACGGCGGTGTGAATGCTGAACACATGTGTATACTTCGGTTGAAACCCCACTTATTTTTCAATGAAAAGACAACCATTTATTTTGATGCTTAATCTGTATCAGATGCTGAAGTTTGGGGTGTTCTCCTATTCGTCAAGTTGTTCCTCTCCCACGTGCTCTCTGAGCAGTGGGGGGACCAGCAGGTGGTGTCTGGGCCCGTGTTCTGTACCAGGCTGTGCTGAGTGCTCCCGTGGCCTCTCATGAACCCTGGAGGCTGGCTTTACAGGTGCAGAGCTAGGGCTTTGAGGTGAGGTCACCCAGTGAGGGGCAGAGTGAAGGTTTGAGTTCAGAACTGTCTGACCCCGTATCCAGCATGTGCTGCCCTCAGATTGGATCACTGGCGTGCCTGCTTCTCTCCCCCAGGAGATGGCAGAACCCATCGTTGCATCCCTAGCACATGGCAGGAGTGTCATGCCATCTGTTGAATAAATGATGTTCTAAGAAGATGGAAGGAAAAACCCTGCAAAGAAATGGGTCCTTGAGTCATATACTTGACCCCCCAACAACAAACACGGTTTCTTATCCTCCGTCCATTAATCCAAATGGTACTTTAGGCCAAAATGTTTAGATGGATTTTAAATGTCTCCCCACGAGTCGGCTTTTGAATCGTCCCAGGTATGTTGCTTAAGACTAAGATATAAGGTTATTACAGTTAAACCTGCAAGTTTTAAGAAAACAAGGATTACCTTAAGTCTCTGTGGAATGTATACTAACGTGACTGCCAGACGCCGCCTGCGAATAAGACAACATAACAAACCAAGGCAGCCTAGTAAGAGTCCAATAATCTTTTTTGGAGGCACGTAACACCCTATCGTGTTAGCTATGAGCAGAGGCTACCGTTGCTCTCTCCCCCTGGAGCTGCTTTGTGAGCCTGTTTGCAATGCTATAACTTGTTGTTTTTTCGTGAATATATCAGCCATTTTTCTATGACAAATACAAACATTTTTCATCACTGTATGTCATTAATAATTTAGCCGGTTTTTTACTGAAGAACATTTAAGTTGTTTCCAGATTTTCACACTTAAGATAATACTATAAAGTAGTAAGACAAGCAAAAAAAAAAAAAAAATTGGCAACACATGAAATAGGACTAAGATTCCTTTTCACATAAAGAGCTTAAAAATCAATAATAAAAAGGGCACAAAAGAAAAAGAAAATGCATCTCAGAAAAAAACTTTTAAAATGTAAAAAAAAAAAAAAAAAAGGTCAGCTTTTCACAATAAAATAAATTAACACTCAAAAGAGATGACTTTCTACCGATAAGCTTGGAAAAGGTTTTAAAAAGTAGTTTAATAAGATCTGTGTTGGGGGTGGTCCTTAAATATTGTTTGTGTGTGTGGGGGGGGAGTATAAATTGCTATAACCCAAATGAAGGACATATCAGTAAAATCTATCAAAATTCAAAATGCAAGTTCCCTTTGATTTGGCATTCCCCATCTAGGATAAGGTATATTCAAACACATCTGAAATGATGTGTGTATAAGGATTTCACTGCAGTATTGTCTGAAAAACCGGAAGACTGGAAACAAAGGAAATGTTCCTCAGTGGGCGGCCGGATAAACACAAGAGAACACCTGAGGAATAATGGAGTAACTGTCATTAGTAAGAATGAGGGTGTTCTGTATTTTCTGATATAGGACAATCTTCAACAACAATGGCTGAAGCTATTTTAATGGTAACGCGGGGACAGGCACTGTTTTCAATACATTGAATAGATGCTATTGATTATCCCCAGTTCAGTAACGTGCAAAAGGTCAGAGCTAGTAAGCTGTGGAACTGGGCTTCAGCCCAGGCATCCTGTCTTTCAAATCCTTGTTCTTCACATCACTCTTAGCATAATATCCTTAAGTGACAAAAGCAAGATACGCCAAGAGGGAGCTTTGTAGCTGTGTGGACAACTTTATCTCTGGGAAGATAGCCAAGAAACTGGTTGTACCTGGGAGGGTAACTGAGAGCCAGGGCTGGAAGGCGGCTGTATCTTCACTGTGGATTTATTTTTCCGTTTACAGTATTTCAAAATAATGCTTTATAACGCTGCACCAGACATGCTTGTACGTACACGCTGGCATGCTTGTTATTTATTTAAGTGAATTCCTTGCAGCTAGGGCACTGAGTCAGCTGCCTTTAACCCTTGATCCCCAGTGATCAGGGTTCCAGAAAAAGGGCCTCAGGTGCAGCCTTGAAGTCTAGGGAAAAGGGTGTGTCTTCAGGGCCACGGCTACATGCCTGCTGTGAATCACCACATCTGTTGACAGCACAACTTTCCATTCCTTAGAGCAGTGGTCCCAACATGGGGACAATCTGATTTTTAGGGGAGGGGGGGCAATTCAAGAATGAGTTATTAACAGTGAATTTTTTGCATTTCTTATGGTTTAGGGCAGTGGTCGGCAAACTCATTAGTTAACAGAGCCAAATATCAATAGTACAACGATTGAAATTTCTTTTGAGAGCCAAAATTTTTAAACTTCTTTAATGCCACGTCTTCAGAATAGACTCGACCAGGCCATGGTATCTTGTGGAAGAGCCACACTCAAGGGGCCAAAGAGCCGCATGTGGCTCGCAAGCTGCAGTTTGCCAACCATGGGTTTAGTGGTCTCATATATAGTATATCTATATATATAAAAGCCTAAATGACTGCCTGCTGGTAGCCATGATGAAGACTAACCACCAGGGGGCAGACACTCAACCCAGGTACAAAAACCACAGGCATGGAGACATGGAACAGACTGATGAGTCTCAGAGGGAAGCAGGGAAAGGGAAGGGTGGGAAGAGACTAACCGAAGATCTTACATGCATACTAGAGGCCCAGTGGGATCCCTTGGCCTGGCCTGCGGGATCGGGCTAAAACTGGCTCTCTAACATCCCCTTAGGGATCTTGGATGACAAAAGGGTGCAGGCCAGGTCAAGGGACTCCACTGGTACACGAATCCATGCACTGGGCCTCTAGTAAATATATATTGTGACGTATTTATGAATTTCGGTTCTCTTTATATGTTTTAAAATTTTATTTGCTATTTTTTCCTATCACTTCATATTATTTTTTTTTAACAAGTTCTTAGTGATTTCTTCCTCAGTACTTCAACTATTCTTTTATTTTTCTCTTTCATGGATGCCATGTTCTTTGGAAGCTTGTTTAGACCAAGTTAAAGAACTTTTAGGCTTCTTCCATGTGAATAGGAGTTTATTTTTTGAATAATCAGAATTATAAGTTGGGGGGGGTGTAATTAGGATTTTAGAGATGTTTAGGTGGGGCATGGCCAAGAAAAGGTTAGGAACCACTGCTTTAGAGGAATGTGTTAATTTCACTATCTCTTAATTAAGTTTAAGATTGAATGTGATAAACACAATTCAATGAGCTCAAGGGAGAGCAGCTAGCAAATGCAAATTTTTTTACATCTGTTTCTCAAAGTTGTAAATTTATTTGAGAATTTTCTGTTCTTGGAGATATTAGCATAAAAGAATATTTTCATTTCTGGGTCTTGGATAAGAAATGCATATTTAAATCAGTCCTAACTGTGGAAATCCAAACATATGTTCCTTTTTAAATGGTATAATCTAGATATAAACAATTTAGAAACATCTCGCTTGGTAATTAGAGAATTCATGGATAGAATTCATTAAATTGCTTATATTTATATGCATACAACCTCACCTAAACATCCTAGAAGAAAAAGAGCATTCTTCATTAAGAAGCTTAATTAGTATTTCTCCCTCAGTATTTGGTTAGAATTCCCCACCACAGTCTAAAAACCCCATCTGCAATGCCACCTTGATTTATGCCATGGACTCCTAACCCTCTTCCAACCCTTGCCCTCTTTTGGTCTTCTGTCCATTTTCCAAGCTGGAGCCCTGCTGCTCACTGCTCTCCTGGGTTACCTGGGAATTCCATTCTCAGTCAAAGGCTCTCAGAGCTGAAGTAAGAGGCTTTCTAACCCAATGCTTATCCAGTGCTCAAAACATCTTGCCATACATTACCACCGACGGAGAGCTCCTTACTTAACAGCCTGAGCTCTTTTTAAACAGCCCTGACTACGGGGAAGTTCTGTAGAGAGTGAGCCAAAGGCCATCTCTCTGTAGTTGTCACCTACTAATCTGACTTCCATCCCTTTGTGGTCACATAGCAATGGTGATAGCCACTGTCAGTCAAGTACAAAGGCAGCCCTGTTCCACCATTTCTTCTCCAGGCTAAACACTCTGGTCCCTTCCCCTGCTCTTGTACAGGCTTTGGGACCCCTGTCCGTCCAGGTCTTTCTAAATTACCGACACTTATCTCTATTCTTCTCAGACCAGAAAGAACCCACCAAAATGGATTTTCCATTCTAAACACACACACACACACACACACACACACACACACACACACACAAACAAAAAACAAAAAAAAAAACACCACATATTTCTTGGGAAATGACCCAACTTTTTGGCAATAAAAACACAGAGTTCAGTGCTCGCTTTGGCAGCACATATACTAAAGTTGGAACGATCTAGAGAATATCAGCATGGCCCCTTCACAAGAATGACACAAATTTGTGAAGCATTCTATATTAAACACACACACACACACACACACACACACACACTCGCGCAGGGTTCACTCATTGATTTCATCACCCCCTAAAATTCTAAAGTCTTGCACACTTACTGCTAAGGCATTTCTTCCCCTCCCACGGCTTCATCACTGGTTTCTAGACCAGGAGCCTTGCCTTGTGTTCATCCCCATTAGATTTCACCCTCTTAAATGAGACCCACGGGTCTAATGTTCTAGAGCTGGTGTGTCAGCACAGCTCCACACTTTCTCCTCTGGCTGCGCACCATCCAGTTTGGGATATTGCCTTCAATATCCAAATCCAACTGCCAGTTCATCTAAGTCATTGGTAAAACCCTGGAGCAGCCCCAGGAGATGACACACTTCTACCAAAGCCACCCAGTCACACCCGGCAGCCACCACTGACTGCCTTTCCACTGGTTCTGTGCTATCACAGCCAAATCGCCATTTCCAACTTTTTTTTTGCCTGCCATTTTATTTTCCAATCCTCTTTTCATTTTTCTATCAGAGGGCAAGTGGAATTTGGGTCACAACAAGTTTAAACATTTACCCATGAGATGAATAATAAAAAAATGTTGGAAAGTACTAAACTGGTTCTATAATATGGTATTGAAATTCTAAAAATCAAGTCTTTTACTATCTACATAGACTATCTACGTAGATGTACAAGGAATTCTTTTGATTTTATTTAGCATAAACTACGCTCTCCAGTGCACTTTACTTGAAAGGGTGATTCATTATGACCATGAACATGCATGGCTGCTAACGTTCATTCCTTTGGTAGCAAACAACTTCAAGTCAGCGGTTGGTTGAATCCACAGGCCTGAGATCTGCTCATGGACCATGTGTACTACCACAGGAGTCAGAGGCCAGTCTGGCGGGGGGGAATGGAGACCCCCCAAACACTACTAGCCTTTCTGGACACTGAACTGCCTCAGAGGCTGCGTGGGGAGCACAGGTCTGGATGTGAAGTCTGTTCTTTTGCTCCATGGACTTAGGAAATATATGCACACTCTGGGCCTCAGTATTTTCTTTGTGAAATAAAAACAATATTTAACCTGCTTCACAGGGTGAATAAAAGGATATTAAACAAAATTAATGAAATGATGAATGGCTCAAGACTGTGATAGGTATTAATTAAACGTTGATTTCTAATTCACAGATATATGTGACATTAATAACACTAATGTTGTCCTAATAGTCATAGGGATGTGAAGTACAGCATAGGGAATATAGTCAGTAATATTATAATTACTACTAGTATGTATAGTGCCAGGTGGATACTTGAATTATCAGGGTGATCACTTTGTAAATTATGTAACTGTCTACCATGGCACTATAGCCTGAAACTAATGTAAAATAATATTTGGAAACTGTAATTAAAAAGTAACATTAAAATGTATAATGATATTGTCCTGCTCACAGTTAACCTTCAATGAATGGGAGAGCTAACAGGGGAGTGAGAGGGACTGTGTGTGTATGCATGCACGTAATGAAAATAATAGCTAAAAGAAATCTAAAAAACCCATTTGATTTATATGCCTATTTTTAAAAGCTTACCTCAAATTTTCGTTGTTCAATATTTGACTAGTATTTTAACCTTAGGGGATTTAATGAAATATTTTAGATTAATATGTTAATACCTTTCTACTCATGATGTGCATCAAGGATTAGCGCCAGAGGTATTCCCAAGGAACTTGTTAGAAAGGCATCAAAATCTACATTTTTCACAAGGCCTCCAGCTGATCTGTACAATTGCTGAAGTTTGAGAATAACTGGTTTAACAGAGCATATCCTCTCTCGAGTTAACTTTTGTGTGTTTTCGGTTCTTCTATATAATACTTGGGATGGTATTTAACCACTAGGCTTTTAATTAACAACATCCTTGTTAGTTAACAATATACTTTTTTTTCACATATTGTCCCTTTCATTTCTAAATCTAGAATCAGAAATATAAAAAGAAGGTGATCACTTTGTAAATTATGTAACTGAACTCCTCATGCTTTCATTAAGTTGACATCATCCATAAAAGATTCAATTACTGAGGGGAGGGAAAAAACCAACAATATGTAGCTTTGCTTCCTGGAATAAGACAACAAAACATCTTGCAAGTACTAAAACTTTAGATTAGTAGGAAGTGTGCAATTTAAAAGCCTATTAATTTTTCCAAGGAACTATGTCTAAATCCACCTTACTATAAGAACATTCTTTAGCGGAATAAATAATGGTAATTATAACTAATTTCTCCAGCATCTAAGTTAGACTGACTTTTTTTTCAGAGAGGTATTCACAACTTCACAGAAATTTCAGGTTCCATCCAAGATATGTCTCAAATCTTAAAAAAGTGGAAAACTGCATGGCTGATGTACTTCTTTTATGCTTGGGAATGGGGCACGACAAGTAAATTGAAAGTTATAAGTTAGAATAAGCACACATGTTTTATTTACCAAGCCTTTTAATGAACTACTCGCCTCCCCATAATATAATTCTAGTTGACAGCTAGCAAATGAGCTATGACTGCTGGACAAGATCTCTCTCTACCTCTTAGGGATGTGTTACAGTGCCATTGACAGCAGAGCTGGGCCTTCCAAGAGGATCAACGTGAAATGGGTTCTAGAGCTAGACTGGGCTTACCTGCTGGATCCCTCACTGGTTCCCAGTGCAAGTCACTGTCTTTCTCCCTGATCCATCCACAGAGCCCATGGTCAAAACTGCAGCTATGTATCAGGACACCTGCAAGGAAATGACCAGGAAGACGAGTAACCCACAACGCACAACAGAAACACACTTGTTAACAAGGCTATCGGGACAAGCCTTGTTATCTGCACTTCACTAACCCCCCAGAACTTCTCTCCAGATCAAAAGGAAATCACACGAATCCCTTCTCAGCACAATTGTGCCTGGGTGCTCAGCTATAAAAACACAGCACACAAATGTTGCCAATTATGACCTTTTACATCATTTAAAAACATGATTTCCTCCTCATAGTTTATATTAAATGCTAATTTAATATAAATATATACACACACACATGTATACAAACACACACACACACACATATCACTGAGTGGCCAGATTATTATGATCTCTGAATGCCTAATAACCCGGCCACTCAATATATATCCTATATAATAAAAGGCTAATATGCAAATTGTCCCCTTGACTAGGAGTTCACCAGCAGGCAGGCCAGCCAACCACCAAGTCCCCTCCCCCTGGCCAGGTTGGCCAGACCCCACCCATACATGAATTCATGCACTGGATCTCTAACACACACACACACACACACACACACACACACACACTGCTGAGTGGCCAGATTATTGTACGTTCAGAGATGTGTGTGTGTGTGTGTGTGTGTGTGTGTGTGTAATTTTTAAAAAAAGATAATAATGACTTGTCCTAGACAGTTTGGCTCAGTGGATAAAACATTGGCCCACAGACAGAAGGGTTCTGGGTTGGATTCCAGCACTTTGGTTGCAGACTCAATCCCTGATCCTGGTCAGGGCGTGTGCAGGAGGCAACCAATTGATGTGTGTCTCTGCCTGTCTCTCCCCCTCCGTTAGACTCTCTCTAAAAAAAATCAATGGCAAAATGTTCTAGGGTGAGGATTAACAAAAACAAAACAAAACAAAAAAATGATGACTCAATTACTTGTGCCCAACTGATATTTCAGCAGAGGAAACCAAGTTGAAAAAAAAAAAAGGATCTATAATTTTCCTAGGTGTAACTTAACAATCTATAATTTAAAAATTATTTTCATGAAATGGAGGAAAACAATAAAATGTCATTATAACAGTAGTGATATAATATAAGTGTCTTGGGGTGGTAAATACACCATTCAATATACAGGTGATGTGTTGTAGAATTGTACACCTGAAACCTATATAATTTTATTAACCAATGTCAGCCTAATAAATTCAATTTTAAATAAAATATGTAACTACCTGGGTCATCCTTTGCTTCATCATCTGCACTGACTCCTCTTTCAATTTCAAATATTTCAAACAAATCATTCGAAGGGTGTCGTGGAACTGTAAGAGAGAGAGAGAAAGAGGGAGAGGTTTTGATAAAAGGGCAATGCCTTTAACAAGGGGCAGGGGAGAAAGACTCATCTGGAAGGACCCAAAACTTTTCATTATACTCCACGAGAAGATTCAGGAAGTTGGTTCCACAGTGTAACATTTACACTGTAACATTTACCTGTGTGCAAATAAAAACTGGTTTTCTCAAGTTTTTAAATTTCAACACAAAAACACATTCAAAGGTTTTCATCTGGAGAAAAAAAAATTTTACTAGTAAAAGAGCTACTAATTTTGAGTAAAATATTCATCTCCATGAAATTCAAAATTGTGTCTCTAAAAAAGAATCACTGTGAACACCAGGTTGAGTATGTTTTGATGGACATGCCTGCCAGTGGGGTGAGTGGTTTGGTTTTCTAACCACAGCGCCCACTCCCCTCCATGAGCTCTGCACACTGGTGCCGGCTCATCTGGATTTCTTACCAGGGCCCTGGCTCCTTTAAGACAAAATCCAAAGGCCTTGGTGCAGCATTCACAGCTCCTTCTTCCCCCTTACCCTGCCCCACCCCACAGTGCCCAAACATGCCATTCATTTTCAGTCTCTGACTGTCCCCAGCTTGGGAGGCTCTTCCTGCTAATTAACCTGCCACTCTTCCTTCTTCCTTCATCGCCCAGTGTAAATATCTTCCTTCATTGCCCAGTGTAAATACCACTGCCTGGGTGCAAACTTTCATGCCCCAGACAAATTAATCCCCTCCCCCAGCTCCCGCCCTCCTGTAGTTCAGACTCCTCTTTCTACACCTCTATTCCATTTTTTTATAGACTTGCAGTTATTTACACACACGTGTGTGCCTGTGTGCCTGTCCCTCTGCTAATCTCTGAGGTCCTGGAGGACATCAATCATGGCTTATTCATGCGGCATTTCCAGGGCCTGACCTGGTGATGGGCACTCAGTACGTGTTTACTGACCAAATGGGAAGATCTTGTCAAGAAACCCATGCACTCTGTCAACTCTTCCTCCCTGAAACAAGTGGGACCAGAGCTTAATTCCCACTTTTAAAAACATGGATTCATTTAAATAATTAGTTGTTTGTTTAACGTGTGTTTGATTACCACCCATATGCCAAGCGCTGTGGGAGGCCGAGCAGACAGGGAGAAAGGGCTGAGCCAGTTCAGCAGGGACCTGGCCCTCATGGAGCCTGCACTCCAATGAGAGAGGCAGACAAACCGGAAGACCAATGAATACCACCATTCTCAGCGCTGAAAGGGGCCAGGAAGGAAAACACCAGATGACGTCATGGAGAGTGACAGGTGGGAATGGGGGTGTGGGAATGGGGGTGGTAGTGGAGGGGAATTCTTGACCACAGACCAGAGAATACTCCCTTTTCTTTGACAGAATTTAAATTAATTAGCCCTATTTTTATAAGGCAGGGAGTGAAAGATGTAGAACACCAGGGAACACACATTAGTCAAAAGGGCTCTTTTTTGAAAATGTTCCTATTATTTTTAGCAACAATTTCAAAAATTAATAATCTCATAATATATACACTGATTTTCTAAAACCTTATTGCTTTGATTTTTTTTCTCTGTTTGTTTCAAAATCCAGACAGTAAATCGCCCTCACCTTCTGCCTCACATACTCACATATAAGCAGCCCGTGAAGAATAAAGAAGAGAAGCTAGCTCACAGACAAGCTCTAGGGACACTACCCCGATCACCGGTGCTCTGGGGTGGGGCAAATGCCCTCCCTCTTGTACACCCAGATGACTGACAGCAATAACATCCAATTATAGTGTTCCTTTCCTGAGAAGGAGACTGTCCACTAGAAATACTACAGAGTTGTAGGCAATCACAATTCATTTTTCATGACATAGAAAGTTAGAACCATCATTTCTTTGTTCCCTTAATCTTGTTGTAATTTATACAAATTATCTCTGGATTGGAATAGCTCCAATCTTAAGGTACCATATTTTAGGGGCATTCTGATGGTTTGTCAGCTCCTTTTTTCCAGATGAAGGACTGTCAGATGGCAAGAAGTCTAGGTGTATGGGGAGGACCGCTCCAAGGTGTCCTGGTGCAGGAGGACTGCTTTACGAAGGGGGATGAAGGAGGTCCTCTCTGAGGAAGCACCACTGGCATGGAGAGAGGAGGAACATGGAACCTTCCAAGCAAAGTGCTGGAGTAGGAGAAGAGTGAGCATTTCAGGCCTCAAGTACAAAAAAAAAAAAAAAAAAAAAAAAAAAAAAAAAAAGGCACTGAGAATAGTTGGAGAGAGGTGTTCTCAGTGACTAGAGGATGCTGAGAGATAGAGAAAGCGGCCTGGGATGAGGCAGAAGAGAAAGGAAAGGAACAGATCACACACTTGGAAAACAGCAACCCAGAGAATTAGTCATCCAACAACTTGCTCCATGTCAGATGGTTCATTAGTATCTTCAGCACTGGGTTTCCAAGAGCTATTCAATTCAGCAGCGGCTGATCACACACACCTTTATTTTCATTCACTGGGAAACGTTCCAAGGAACGTAGAGGTCTGAGGTGCTCGGCAGCTATTAGTCCTTAAAATGGCGTGCGCTCTGCTCTGCTCTGCTCTGCTCTGCTCTATAACTGCGCCACAGTATTTACTCTCCTTTCTCACACACCGCAGTCTCGACTGCTAAGGGCGTCCCCCAGCTGTGCCAAGAGAAGGTACACTACCCATTCCCTGGTACAGTTTACCGTTTCTGTGAAAATACTAAGTGAAACAAGCAGTGAGGGGGAAAATCGAGCAGTATGATTTTAACTATGGTCAAGAGAAATGAGTGAACAAACCAAAAATTTGGACTAGAAAAAAATGGTAAAAAATACACCCATATGCGTATCGTAGTGGTCTGATTATTTTTTCTCATTTGTTGGTTTGCAATTCTAAATCTTTAAGGTTGCTTATAAAATGAATTTCTATTATGAAAAAAAAACTTACCTAAAACATTGAAAGAAAGGAGACTTCTATCAGAACACATACAGGCCCGACCCCATGGCAACTGTGTCTGTTACTTGTGTTTTGTCTGCTCAGAGGACTCTGAACAGAATCTTCATACCTGTTGTTAAGTATGAGGGTATGAAATTCAAATGTACTTGTGTAATTTAAATATATTCTTTGATATAGAGAGCTAGTGTAATCACTGCAGAAAAATGTTTATTAAAATAAATGACTAGCCATGCCCCAAAACACAAAGAATAACCAAGAGAGATGCTAATACATGATCTTCCTAATTATCCTTCCCTGCATCATATTAAATATATATAAACAAATATCAACTATTCTCTTTAGCTGAACCATTAATTCTCAAAATCAGAACGTTATAATTTTAGAGATAGAAAAGGATCAGAGAAATCTAACAATACCATTCCTCTAGCATCTTTTCATCCATCCTCCCCACCCTATTCCATCCACATGCTAATGCAATCAATTAAGGAAGTGAGCATCCACTGAGGGCCTCCCCCCCATCAGTGCTGGGCAAAGAGCTTGTTGTGAAGCAAAGAGCTTTTGCCTTCAGAGGATGTAAGGTCCAGATGTGAAGACAGACACCTAACAATTTCCCCAGGTAATGAGTTCTTTAAAAGTGAGGCAGAGGAAGCTCTGTGAGCGTGGGGGGTGGAAGGAGAGAATGAGGCGAAAGGGGGGGCTAGCAGGAGGAGGACGGACGGGTGAGTGAAAACCTCCCTCTGAGAGGTGATTCCTATACCAGGGCATGAAGGATGAGTTCCTGGGAGCTGGCACCCTAATGAATGAAGGGGTGTGGGGCTGAATGCTCATTAGAGCTGGAGCGCTCACAGGGGAAGAAGGGTGCCACATGAATGAAGCTGGGGATGCAGGCAGACCGTGCAGGGCCTTTAAAAGTTCTGTAAAGATTTGGGACTATATTCTGGTGGAAATCTGGAGCCTCTGGAAGACGTTTACACAGGAGTGCCAAGGTGAGGTCCACCCTTCTGACTGCAGCATGTGGAACGAACAGGGAGGGGGAGAGGATGTCAGAGGGCAGTTAAGACCAACATTAACTAAAGAATTCACCTTGAAAACATTTCCTCAACATTCTCCTCCCAAAGTAGGTTTCACCTACTCAAAATACCCCATGCCTATTGCTTCTTACAATCTTCTGTCTGAACTATAAGACAGGAGGTGTCCAGGCATGGGAGGGAGAAGCCAGGTGGATAAAGACCTGGTGGGACTGGGTTGAGGGGTCCAGGATGTTTCCCTAACATCTGGGGAGCCCTGTGGCTGAAAGGATCAGCCACACAAATCATCAGGAAACTTCCTGAAGAGAAAGTCTGACCCACTGTTTTCTATTAAACTTATTTTCCCCAGGAATATGATAATTTTAAGATATAATCTGAGTTCATAAATGAGGTTCTTCCACATAGTCAATTGTATATTTTACCCAAAAAGCACTAAGAGTAAGCACAGTGGTCAAAACTGGTTTGGCTCAGTGGTAGAGCATCAGCCTGTGGACTGAAAGGTCCCAGGTTCGATTCCGGTCAAGGGCATGTACCTTGGTTGCGGGCACATCCCTGGTAGGGGGTGTGCTAGAGGCAGCTGGTCAATGTTTCTCTCTCATCCATGTTTCTAGCTCTCTATCCCTCTCTCCTCCTCTCTGTAAAAAATCAATAAAATATATATATATAAAAAAAAAAGAGTAAGCACAGTGGAGTAAGTGTAAATATCATACACACCTCCTCCCATGGTCAGCTCTCTCCCAAAGTGTAACTACAACAAAGTGTAAACCATAGCTAGTAAAGGTAGGTTTGCAAATTCTGTTTAGTGCTTGGGTGGCTCCCCTGACATGACCCAGGCCGGTTCTGGCATTTTTTGTTGAACTAAAAGGATCAAGATAACAATGTCTGAAATTCTACCCTTGTAGGTTTGGTTCATTGAAGGAGAATGGCGTACATGGAATTTTCCTAATATTCTCAAGGCTTATTCTGGTGGCAAAAACTGGGGGTTTCTAGAGACTACAGTATGGGGGTGAATGCCAAGG